GGAGGGAGGGACCGCACGCGGGCCGCGGTACAGGCGGGTCTTCGGGGGCGCTCTCCCGGGACGCGGGCTCCGGGAGGCAGCCCAGCAGTTTTGCAGAGCGCAAGAAGGACCAGCTTCCCGGGCCCTTTCATCCTCTGCGGAGGCTTCACAGACGTGGGCCTTCTGGGGTGAAGGCCGTTCCTAGCCTGGCTTTGAAGGAGAAGCCAGAGTGGCTGCTGTGACGGTCAGACTGTGACTGGGGCACTTGGGGGCCCACACGCATTGCCTGCAGGACACCCCCAGAGGAGCCGCCACGAGCGACGTCCTTGCCCCCGAGTGAGAGCTCTGGGGACACGTGGCTGGAGAAAGCCTCCCGGAGAGGCTGTACCTCAGGGGTCCCCTCCGTGGGGTCGTCTTCCTCTGCCTCCTTCGCTGCCTGCAGGTCCTGACACTTCCGGGTCAGTGCTTGGATCTCCTCTCTAGTGGGAAGGGGACAGGGACACCCTTTGGCCTCACGCGGTGCACAGTGTCCGTGCGCGGACATCTGGCAGCAGACGAGGGGTGTGGGCCCAGCTGCCAGCAGCACCCACACGGGGCACCAGGTGTCTGTCCCGTCGGGAGGGAGCACGTGGGGCTGGCCCCCCAGCATCGCTCTGGTCAGGCGAGAACGGAAGAGGCGCTGACTATGCGGTGTGGGCGGGTGTAAGCAAGCAACGCGCACAGAGGAAGTGCGCCCGCTGCGGCTCCAAAGGAACGCGAACGCCTCTGCGCTGTGACCTGCCCTCTGGTCACCCAGCCGGCACCAAAGCTGCGCCTTTTGTCTGAGAACAAACACTCATTCGGTCCCGGTGGCAGGGTCCAGGGAGGGGCCGGCACCCTGTCTGCCACGAAGGTGGCCAGCAGCCCCTGGGGCAGCCGCGGAGAGGCCACGGCGATGGAGAAGACAAGGCGTTCGAGCAGAAGCAGAAAGAGGAGCAGGAGGCACGCCGGCGCTGAGAGCAAGGCCACAGGAGGGCCTCCGCCGGGGGAAGGGCCCGGCCGCCAGGGGAATAAGAAATCCGGCAAAGGGAGCTGTCCCTGGGGCCTGGGGCAGTGGTGACCCCATCCCACTCCTGTTTTAGCATCTCCTGCTACTACAGCTGGAATGAGTGCTGTCTGGGTGTACATTTAAGAATAAACTTTTGCCGAAACCGGTTTGGCTCAGTGGATAGAGCGTCGGCCTGCGGACTGAAGGGTCCCGGGTTCGATTCCGGTGAAGGGCATGTACCTGGGTTGCGGGCACATACCCAGTAGGGGATGTGCGGGAGGCAGCTGATCGATGTCTCTCTCTCATCGATGTTTCTAACTTTCTATCTCTCTCCCTTCCTCTCTGTAAAAAATCAATAAAATATATTTAAAAAAAAAAAGAATAAACTTTTGTAAAAATAAAGTTTGTCTCAGCAACCTGCCTTAGTAATTGCTCTGAGTGTAAATGTTCCTGCTCAGATTTCTACGCGTGGGGGCCTTTGTCACTGATGTGAAAGCCGAAGTGCACAGCCGTGTCCATACACTCACGGTGTTGGGGGCCGCCACCCCTGCCTAATTCTAGGACCCGAGGGTTCCCATTGCCCCAGAGCCCCACACCCGTCTGTCACCCCCACGCCCTGGCCTAGCCCTGCAACCACTGACCACTGCCTGCCCGGCCTGGCCCGGCCTGCTCTGCACGTGTCGGGTCATCGGTGGCCTGCCTGCCTGCCGCTCCCGTGGACGCGGTCCTGAGGCCCATCCATGCTGGATGCATGTCAGGCTGTGTCCCCCTCGTGCCCTGGTATGGACACCTCCGCTTTTTCTCTATTCGTCCGCCGGTGGACTTTTGGGTAGCTTCGGCTTAGGGGCTGTGGTGGACAAGGGCGCGTGTGGGAGGCACTGACCCCGGGAGGCCTGACGGGGGCGCAGAGGCGCCGGGACAGCTTGCTGACGGGCCTACCTGGAGGAGAGGCCACGCCCGCTGGCTCCGCTCGCTTACCTCAGGGCCGCCTCCCGCGCTCGCCTGGCCTCCTCTCCTCGCCGCACCTCCTCCAGCTCCTTCTCCACGTCGGCCTTGGCCTGCAGCAGCTGCCTCACCTCCAGACTGGACAGAGGACCAGACCTGG